CCCGCCTGACCCGGCTTGGCCCCGAGAGCGCCGAGTACAAACCTGACCCAGGGCGAGCAAAAAGAGCAGAGGCGCGCGAGGCCCTCGTGCTGGCGCCTGCCAATCAGCCCCAGCAGTGACTGAGTTCTAAGATAACTCCCTTTGGAGGAGACTCTTTCCTTACAAACCTGTTTTACATACTTCCAGTCGGTGCAGCCAGTAAGTCACCTCGGACTAACTTTTCCACGGGACTCTTTCTCTTCGCCCTTTGAAGGTGTCTCGGTGCTGCGGAGCATCCCCGTTGATTGGTTCCTCCAGACTCAGGCGAGCACACAGGAAAGCGCTGAACTCCTCTGTGAAGGCAACAGGGTCTCACCTTTTATCCTTTAGTAGTGTCTACTTTCTGCCACAAATGGTGTGCTGATCTTTGAACTGTGTATATCTTCCTTTCTAGATCAAGCAGCCAGAAATGACCTGTCCATTCCCTGAATCTCCTAAGAGATTTTTTCCTAAGGTTTGTGACCTATATATAACCTTAATCTGTGAAATATTTTAGAGACTCCAGAAGGACCTAATTCGTTCATTTCTGTGTCTTTTAGGAAGCCAGAATCTACCTGGTTTATAGGAAGTACTCCGAAAATGTTACTGTTTGAGTTAAATGTATCCAGCGATTTGAGCTCTAGAATGGTTTCTTGAGTTGAAAATTCTCTTTTGTTAATAAACTTCAATTGCCCTGGCCTTATTGCCCACCCAGATCCAAAAGCTACTTAGAAATGTAACATTTATCTAAGGGCTTTCAAACCCAAGTTTCTTTTCTGGTTTTTCTTAATGTTAAATGCCTACAGATGCTGGTTCATAGCAAGAGTGTTCCAGCTATTTTGGGTTTCCCCTCCCTGCTGGGTCCTTTCCAGAAGGTACTTTTGTTAAGTTCTGTACCCTGAGAGCCTTCCTAGCCCTGAACTTGACTCAATGGATGCCTTAAGTTTTGGTACCTAATAAAGGTAGGGTTTAAGTAACACAAATCATCTGCTGATTTCCAAGTTTTCGGGGTCTCTGTAAATGTGCAAGAAGCAGGTACTGAACCAGGCTCTTTGAGAAAGTCAACACACAAGAAAGCCACAGTTTCTGCCTTCTAAATGAAGCAGTTATTTGACAAAGGGGACAATGAATGCTAGTGCTTCGCTCACTTTCTCCTTTTTAATCAGTCACCCTCTCCTTTTTAATCAGTCCAAGACCCGAGGCCATAGAAGGGTGCCACTTCACAGTTAAAGTCACTTCAGTTAACCTAATCTAGATCATCCCTCACAGGCACACCCAGAGTCTTGTCTCCCAGATAATTCTGTATCTTGTCAAACTGACAATATTAGCTGCTGAAGAAGGCCTGGCACATCTTGTGTTTGGAGGAGAGTGAAATAAGTCTTTCTCACTCTAGCTGCTGTGATGATGGCTGGATAGAGTTATTGAAACCACTCTGCTGCCATGAAGGAAGCTGGCCTGACAGTGAAGCTGACACATTGTGAAAGAGTTCCAGCTAAACCTGAAGCCTTCTAGATTTAGTCATTTCTCTGAGTCAAGATGTTTTCTTAGCCACTTAAAATTTTTAAAATAAGTTTATCTTTTTATTGCTTGCAGTCAGGGCTAAACTTTTCAATACATATTATGGAAGGAGGCGTCACGTATTATGTATTATGTCTTTTCCAAGGATATTTTTCCCAATGGAATGGATATACTTATTTGATAAGACTTTAGATGGTCCTCAAAGGAACTTGTCCACCCCCCAAAACCCTTCCCAGACTAGGTTATGTTCGAGAACACATCACTGCAGTTTTCAAAAACTTTTATTTGAGTTATGTGCTCTATTTAAATCAACTTGACGTAATAAAAGCACTTTGTGACTCTAATTAGTAACCATGTATGTGTGTTTGATATATGAGGTTTTTTTATATTTTTGTTTTGTCGTGTGTGTGTGTGTGTGTGTGTGTGTGTGTGTGTGTTTTATGCTTAGTTATACACTAAGAAGTCAAAGAAGATGCTGAATATCTTCTTCTAATGGTTTCTACCTTATTCTCATGAAACAGAGTCTTTTCCTGAACCAACAGCTTTTGGTTTTTTGGCTAGACTGGCAGCCAGCAGGCTCCAGCAAACTTCCCATCTATATCTCTGACCAGCATTGGAGTTACAAGCATGCATGGCCACATCTGGATCTTTTGTTTTATTGCTTTTCTTTGATACTGGAAAGATTAGAAAAATGACACTGGTGAGCCGGGCAGTGATTGCTCATGCCTTTAATCCCAGCACTTGGGAGGCAGAGGAAGATGAATCTCTGAGTTCAAGGCCAGCCTGGTCTGCAGAGTGAGTTCCAGGACAGCTAGGGCTACACAGAGAAACCCTGTCTCAAAAAAAAATTAGAAAAAAAGAGAAAAAGAGAGAAAGAAAAATGATACCGGTTACCTGAAGAAAGGAGAGATAGCAAAAGATACAATATAGGAAGAAAAACTTTCCTCCTTCCATTTTATTTAGAACTGATGATGGAGGGTGTCCTTCTGTATATATGTTTCTCTTATTGGTTGATGAATAAAACACTTTCTGACCAATGAGGACTAGGATGAGGAAAATTCTGGGAAAGGTAGGCAGAGAGGGCCCCACCAGAACAGTTGCCATGCAGGCCGCCAAAGGAGTAACAGGTCGACTCTTTTCCGGTAAGATAAGACCACATGGAAATACAGAGATTAGTAATTATGGAATAATTAAGAAAGAGCTAGCCAATAAGAAGCCCTAACCACTGGTCAACAGTTTAACAATTAATATAGCACCTGTGTGCTTATTTGGGGCTCAAGGGTTGAGGGACCAGAAGTGAAACATCCTCCACAAACTGAAATTCAAAGAAATCTAGACAAATCATACTAAGTCTATATTAAAGTCATCCTTTAAGACTGAATAAGGACACATTCAGCCAGCCAGGCATGGTGCTCTGCCTGTAATCCCAATACTTGGAAGGTAAAGGCAGAAAGATGACCACAAGTTTATGACCAGCCTAAGGTACAAAGTGAGCTCCAGGACAGCTTGGGCTACAATGTGAGAACCTATCTTGAAGAAGAAGAAGAAGAAGAAGAAGAAGAAGAAGAAGAAGAGGAGGAGGAGGAGGAGGAGGAGGAGGAGGAGGAGGAAGGACAAGAGGAAGAGGAAGAGGAAGAGAAGGAGGAGGAGGAAGACATTGACCACCACCATCAACAACTTGGGCCAAGCAATATGTTTATGGGAATTGGAAAATGTTCTCAGTCATTAGAGAGACAAGCAGATTGTAAATGTCTCCTGAAGAACAGCTGACTGACTACTTACATAATTTAGAAAGAAATAAAAATGACGCCAATACCTGGTAGAGATGCCTGAAATTCATCTCACTGTTGGGGCTCTGACCCTCTTTAATGGATCACAAGACTACCTTGGGAGGAAGGGGGGTTGTATGTCTACTCAGCCCCGAAGAGATGGCCCATCCTTGAGGTAGTGCCCAGGGCTTCATTTGTATCATAAAAATGTTTCGGTATATAAAAAGTAGAAAAAACAGTATGGTAAGTGTTGTGGGATATTTGTATACTGTGTGAAGATTTGTTGTTGTGATTGGTGTAATAAAAGGCTGAATAGCCAAGAGCTAGGCAGGAGAGATAGGCAGGACTTCCTGGCGGAGAGAAGAAGTGGAGATGCCATCAAGACTCGGAATGAGTCCAACAAAGAATTGGGAGAAATGTGAAAGCCACATGGTAGAATGTAGATTAATAAAATTATGGGTTAATTTAACTTATAAGACCTAGTGGGCAACCCTAAGCTAATGGCCAAGCTTTCATAATTAATGAGACTGTGTTGTTATTTGTGGGCTGGCAGTCCCAGCAAGAAAGCATTCTACAGATAAGCTCTCTTGTGCCCATTACTCACCTTGAACAATTACCAAAATATGGCTAATTTCCCACCCCTATCCCACACAAATTTCACTAGCAAACATTTCCATGTAGAGCCCTAAAAGCTAAAGAATCTTTTATTGTCATCAATAAAACCTACAATTTGCAGGACAGATAAGCAAGTTCCTTCAAAAACTAGACTATATAAAGTAGGAAGAAGGAGATGTTACGTTCACTTGGATATTGATATTGCTTTTTTATATATTTTGTCATTTCTTTTTAGCAGGTTTATAAGGTATAATTGACATACAATTAGCTATACATTTCTGAAATGTAAAACTTGACAAATCTTGGCATTTATACACATAAAAAAACATGACCACAATCAAGACAATGAGCATAGCTACCATCCCAAAGAGGTTGTTCGGATCCATTCAGCCTCATCTCCCATATCCTTAGGCAACCATTGATATGTGTTACTATAGATTAGTTTGCATTTAATGTTTTCTAGGGCTGGGGAACTAACAGTTGCTAGAGCATTTGCCTAGTATGCACAAAGCCCTTGTCTGCTCTCCAGCACCACGTAAACCAGATATAGTAGTTTACACCAACACATCCAGCACCTGCATGGAGTTCAAGGCTGAAGGCTCTAATGAGAGTTCGAAATCACCCTGGGATGAAATCCTATCTCAAAAATAAGAAAACTTCATAAATGGAATTATAAAATATATTTCTTTATGTTGCTTTTTCTACTCATAAATATTGTGCTTATTGTAATTTAGAAATTTATCTGTGTTGCTGTTATGTATCTCCTTTTAGTCTCTCAGTCTCACAGCATGTGTTTAATTCCTTTTCATGGGAGCCATTCATCTTTAGCTTGCACTGAAGTTCCCTGTCATTCTCTGCTTCCGTTTTCTCTTATCTACAATGTAGAAATAACCTTTGTTGTTGTTGCTGTTGTTCAAGCTTGGAAAAATATTTTTTCAACTTTTTGTTTGTTTGGTTGTTTTGGTTTTTTCAAGACAGGGTTTCTCTTTGTAGCTCACTCTGTAGACCAGGCTGGCCTCAAACTCAGAGATCTACCTGCCTCTGCCTTCCAAGTCCTGGTATTAAAGACATGGGCCACCATTGACTGTCTCTTCAACTTTTAAAGTATCTAGCATGTATATAATTTTGGAAAAGTATAGAGTCTTCCCTTGTCAGCCTAGTTTAATATGTTTCTGACTTCGATCAGTTTTTAACAATGTAAAGGAATTCTATTGAAAAGGAATATGTTTTAGCAAAATAAATATAAGATAAAAACAAAAACCATCAATTGAAGTTAGACAACGTAACCCAATAGCAGGAAAAGAGTCCCAAGAGAAAGCACAAGAATATGAAACCAATTCACTCACACACTTGGGAGTCTCGTAAAATTACTAAACTGAAAGCTGTAATATATACACAGAGGACCTGGTGCAGACCTGGGTAGGTCTGGTACTTGCTGCTTCAGTCCCTATGAGTTCATATAGCTTTGCCTATTTGATTTAGAGGGCCTTGTTCTCCTGGTGTCCTCCAGCCCCTCTGACATTCTTTCTGCCTCCTCTTCTGCAGGATTCCCTGAGCTCTGAGGGAAAGGATTTGATGGACACATCCCATTTAGAGCTGTGTGCTCCAAGGTCTCGAATGCAGATGTCTGTAGTTGTTCCCATCTGCTGCAGGAGGAAGCTTCTCTGACTATGGCTGAGGAAGGAAATGATCTATGAGAACAGCAGAATGTCATTAGGGGCCATTCTATCAGTACTTTTTTTTTAAGACCAGTATTATTTAGATTTACCCTAAGTCCCTAGCCTATCTAGTCTTAGGTTCTTGATCACTCAAGCAGTATTGGATATGGGTTCCATCTGGTGAAGTGGGCCTTAGCCAAATCAGGCATTGGTTGGTTACTCCCATAAGCTTTATGCCACCATTGCACTAGCATATTTTGCAGGTAGGACAGTATTGTAGATCAAAGGATTTATGGATGGATTGGTGTTTACATTTCTCTTTCAGTAGCCTCAAAGTACCTTTCCATACTAAAGACACTAGAATATAGGACTGAAGGAGAAATGGGGTTGAAGGAGGGAATGTGGGAGAGATAGCTAGATTTGAGGGGCAGTGTGGAAACCTAGAGCAATGGAAACTTCCTAAAATATATGAAGGTGATCCTAATGAAGGTTCCAGAGAATGAGAGAGAGGTAGTTCCAACTGGCCATCTCTTGTCACTAAATGAAGCTTCCAGTACCGGGACTGGGTTACATCCAATTGAGTTGCTGGCCAAAAGGATCCCTAGGAAATCCCAAAACAACCCAGGCTGTCCCCAAGACTATAGGTTGCTCCACAAACTGACAGCAAGGTCACAATACCCACAGAACTCATTGAAAGTGGAGAGGCTGAGTTGGTGCCTACATAGAAAAGGAATCTTTTAAAGCACTTTTCTTAATTAGCATACTTAGTAATAGGTTTCCTTATGGCATGCCTTCTTTTTTGGACTTCCTCCCCAATGCCACTGCCCCTTCCCCTACCAGCTTCCTGCTGGTCCCTCCCCCACAATAGACCCTAATCTGCTTTCATGTAACTTAAATTCTATTCCTATCTCCCCCTCTTCCTTAAGACTTCTTTTTCCTTTCTATGCTTTGCAAGGCCTCAGGGACTGACCTAATTGGGGCAGCAAAGGAATGAGGAAAGCACAAACACACAGAGATGGACACAGAAAATCTGGGATGAGGTGGTCTGGGCTCTCTGATGGAGAAGCTATAGCCCTCCCAACTGTCCCCACCCCAGAGTTATTATATACAGCTAAACAAGGACTTATGGTTATTAAATACAACTAAACAAAAATTTAGAGATTACCATTACGAACAGTCTCTGTAGGGGAACAGCCTTCAGGCTGTAAACATCTGGGGGAAGGAAGCTACAGTGGACATTGTATGCACACACTATCAGCCTTCACACTTG